GAAGCCACTGTTCCATGTCCTAGTCTCCAAGACAGGAGAAAACAAGCTTGCTCCCTCCCCCCATGACTTCCCCTCACATATTTATGGCTCTCATCATGTCTCCTCCCAGCCTTCTTTTCTGTAGGCTAAACATGCCCAGCTCTTTAAGCCGCTCTTCATAGGGCTTGTTCTCCAGACCCTTGGTCATTTTAGTCGCTTGCTCTGGACACATTCCAGCTTGTCAACATCTCCCTTCAGTTGCAGTGCCAGAATTGGACACAGTATTCCAGGTGTGGTCGGACCAAGGAGAATAGAGGGGTAACATGAGTTCCCTGGATCTAGACACCAGACTCCTCTATTTATGCAGGCCAACATCCCATTGGCTTTTTAAGCTGCCACATGACATTGTTGGCTCATGTTTAACTTGTTGTTTATGAGGACTCCAAGATCTTTTTCACATGTACTGCTGTCGAGCCAGGTGTCACCCATTCTGTATCTTTGCATTTCATTTTTTTTGTTTAAGTGGAATATTTATTTCCATTAATTGAAAAACAAAAACCTGACATTTGTACGATCCCTCCCATGAGTGATCTCCACAGCAAAAGGAAATTGTGACAGGGACACAGCTACAAACTCTCATACAAGATGAAGTGGTAACGCCAGTCAGCTGCTTCTCGGTCAACAGGGGAACACCCCTCTGTTATGTGCAGCATCTGTTACTTGGTAGGTGAGGACTGAGGGAAAATTTGGACTGGGAGACACTAATTTGCTATGTAATGAAGGTGGTTGCACAGCTAAATACAGAACTGTGGTCATGCTTTCTGGTGATGGAGAAGGCTACACTGGTCATTTTGTTTCACAGCCCTTACATTTCTTCTCCTCCTCGTTCTTCCTCCCTCCTTCCCTTCTGGTGGTAGCAATGGTAGCGATGCCTTTGCTGCTTTTCCTCCTTTCATTGCCAAGGTGGAAGTTCATGAAGGGAATGATCACTTGAGGGTACAGCTCTCCACCATTCAATATATGGTGCCCCTCTTCCTTCAATCTTCAGGGTATCAAGGGAAGAGGGGCACCACACAATTTTTTTATGGTACAAAAGTTTTTTTTCATAGTCAGGAGTGACTTGAGAAACTGCAAGTCACTCCTAGTGTGAGAGAATTGGCCATCTGCAAGGACCTTGCCCAGGGGATACCCAGATGTTTGATGCTTTACCATCCTTGTGGAAGAGTTCTCTCATGTCCCCGCATGGGGAGCTGGAGCTGACAGAAGGAAGCTCAACCCCGCTTTTCCTGGATTCGAACCACTGAACCAGTCAGCAGTCTTTCCAGAATATGGGTTTAACCCATTGTGCCACCGGTGGCTCCGGTACAAAGGTACAAATGGTGCAGTTGAACCCGGTTCCAAAAAAAAAAAGAAAAAAAAAAGAAAAAAAAGAGCTCTCATAATTAAGGACTTTGCAATTAGAAAAAGTGGGAGAACACTTTCTAAGCATAATTGGAAGCGTACAAAAAATAACCACTACTTTCCATTTTACTGTAAGTTTTGTTTCATTATGAAAAATAATATTGTTTATATTTTGAATTAGCTAGATATGGGGCACCATATTTTAAGTGCTTTAGAGGGCCTCTAAAGGCATTAATCCAGTTTTGCCAGTCATGCTGAATTACAACACTGATGTTTCCTCATCTACTCCCCACACTGTCGCCAACGAAAGATAAATATTTATAAAAAGCAGAGGGAGAACTTAAGACTGCATAAACGATGCTGGAAATAGAAGAATGTTCTTAAAAAATGGGAGGGGAGATGGAATACTGTGTCCATTTTCGGGAACCACTATACAAAAAGGATGGACTGGAGCATGTTCAGAGAAGGATGGCCAAATGATCAAACGTTTGGAAGACAAGTCCTTTGCTGAAGGGCTGAAGAAGCTGGGTATGTTTAGCTTGGAGACAAGAAAAGAAGGCTGTGAAGAGACATGATAGCCATGTTTAATTATTATTGGAAAGTATGTCATAATAAGCAGGGGGGGAAGACTGTTTTGGCTAGTAGGATTGAAAATCTTCTTGATGGTGGGAGCTTTCGACAGTGAAATATGCTGTCTTGTATTGTACTGGAATCTCCTTCCCTGGAAGTTTTTAAACAGAAGCTGTTTGATGATCATCTGTTGAGAGTGCTTTGATTGTGTGTTCCTGGGTGGCAGCATTTTGGAGTAGATAGTCCTTGATGTCTCTTCTAAATTTATGGTCCTTTATGACCCATTTTTATATGGTATTATGTCATATCACAAGGCTAAGGGAGATCATGAAAATCAAGAAAGGGAAGGTGATAGCGATATTCAGAAATCTAAAGAATTATACAAAGAGTTGGCATTATTCAGGACATTAAGTAAGTCTAGATCTAGTCAAGGTCAACAAGATAGCAGGCGATCCATTTTCAAATCTCCAACGGTTAGGGCAGCTCTCACTATTAAGCGGCTAGATGGCAAACATTGGGATGAAACTGTGCACAGAAAGAAATATAGACATACCATCATACTGTAGAAAGGGTTATCATAAATACTGTGTAGCTGCTCAACATGCTGTCCAGGCAGTGGCTGATAATGGCTTCAGTGTTAGTGGCACCAGCTTTAGATTGAACTCTGAACTAAAATCCCCCCCCCCCTGGTGGTGCAGCGGGTTAAACTGCTGAGCTGCTAGCTGAGTTGCTGAACTTGCTGACCAAAAGGTTGGTGGTTCGAATCCGGGGAGCGGGGTGAGCTCCCACTGTGAGGCCCAGCATCTGCCAACCTAGCAGTTTGAAAACATGCAAATGTGAGTAGATCAATAGGTACCGCTTCTGTGGGAAGGTAATGGCGCTCGATACAGTCATGTTAGCTACATTACCTAGGAGGTGTGTACGGACAATGCTGGCTCTTCATTTTAGCAATGGAATTGAAGACCACTCCCCAGAGTCAGACGCAACTAGATTTAGTGTCAGGGGAAACCTTTTCTTTACCTTTAAAATTGTCCTGGATTTTAGTTTGAATTAGATGGCCCTTGGGATCTCTTCCAACTTCATGATTCTTTGGCTGGATCTACACTGCCACACAATAATATTTGAATCTGAATTGTCGAAAGCCTTCACAGCCAGAATCACAGTGGTGCAGTGGGTTAAACCTCTGTGTCGGCAGACTGAAGACCAACAGGTCGCAGGTTTGAATCCAGGGAGAGGCGGATGAGCTCCCTCTATCAGCTCCAGCTCCTCATGCAGGGACATGAGAGAAGCCTCCCACAAGCATGATAAAAACATCAAATCATCCGGGTGTCCCCTGGGCAACGTCCTTGCAGACGGCCAATTCTCTCACACCAGAAGCGACTTGCAGTTTCTCAAGTCACTCCTGACACGACCAAAAAACTGGAGTGTTGTGCGGTTTCCGGGCTGTATGGCCGTGTTCTAGCAGCATTCTCTCCTGATGTTTTGCCTGCATTTGTGACTGGTATCTCCAGAGGAGGATATCTCACCAACATAGTTAGATTCTCTGAAGATGCCAGTCACAGGTGCAGGTGAAATGTCAGGAGAAAATGCTGCTAGAGCAGGCCATACAGCCCAGAAAAAACCACATAACACCCCTATTTGAATCTGCATTATAAAGTCAGTGTAGAACCATATAATGGCGTTCAATGCAGTTTCGGTGCATTTACTCCTGACATTTCGCCTGCATCTGTGACTGGTATCATCAGAGGAGGATATTTCACCAACATTGTTAAATCCTCTGAAGATGCCAGCCACAGATGCAGATGATATGTCAGGAGAAAATGCTAGAACATGCCATACAGCTCAGAAACCACACAGCACTCCTACTTGAATCTGCATTATAAGGTCAGTGTAGAGCATAAGGAGTCCCCAGTAGCACAGCAGGTTAAACTGCTGAACTGCCAAACTTGCTGACCGAAATGTTATTGGTTCGAATTGGGGGCATGGGTGAGCTCCCACTGTTAGCTCCACCTTTTGCCAACCTAGCAGTTTGAAAACATGTAAATTTGAGTTGATCAATAGGTACCGCTTCTGCAGGAAGATAACGGCGCTCCATTCAGTCATGCCAGCCACATGACCTTGGAGACATCTATGGACAATGCCTCTGAAGATACCAGCCACACATGCAGGTGAAATGTCAGGATAAAGTGCTGCTAGAACATGCAATACAGCCCAGAAACCACACAAAACCCTTATTTGAGTATGTATTATAAGATCAGTGTAGATCAGTGGTTCTCAACCTGTGGGTCCCCAGATGTCTTGGCCTTCAACACCCAGAAATCCTAACAGCTGGAAAATTGGCTGGGATTTCTGGGAGTTACAGTCAAACACACCTGGAAACCCATAGTTTAGAGCCATATAATGGCGTCCAGGGCAGTTTCAGTGCAAATTCTCCTGACATTTCTCCTGCATCTGTGGCAGGCATCTTCACAGGAGGATATCTCACCAACATGGCTAGATCCTCTGAGGACGCCAGCCACAGATGCAGGAGAAATGTCAGGAGAAAATGCTGCTAGACCACAGCCATACAGCCCAGAAACCACACAACACTCTAATTTGAATCTGCATCTGTGTAGAGCCATATAATGGCGTTCAGTGCAGTTAAATGGCATTATATGGGTCTACAATGATGATCTAATGCTGATTCCAACTGCAGTGTGGATCCAGAGATGGTGAAGAAGAAGAAGCCGGCACTGGTTGTAGGCACACTGACCCGGATTAGCGCTGTTTTCCCTCTTGGAGAGCAGAGGCGCCCTTCGAGGCAGGCGCCACTAGGGGCCGCTCTTCCCCTTCCTTCTGGATGCCTTTCCTCGCCCTCGTCCTTTTCCCCGCGGTTTGAGGCAAAAGTTTCTCTCCAACTCACCCCGCCAGCGTTAAAGGCAGCGCTCACTGCCGATTGGCCGGGGGATTTTGGTGGGTTGGAGTCCTTGATTGGCCAGGAGCTGCCGGGGGGTGGGCAGACTGTTGATAGTGCGCGGGGCGGGGGGAACGGAGGCCAGGGGGGAGGGGGGAGACCCTCTTTCGCCCTCCATCTCTCTCTCTCTCTCTCTCTCTCTTTCTCTCCCCCTCCCTTCATCCTCCTCAGTGCCTGATCTAGTTCTCACTGAACACTTTACTACAGCTTGCAATGTGACACTAAAATATAGACTCTCGCTTTCACACACACACGCACGCACATACCTCCACACACCCACCCACTCCCGCCTTCACACACACACGCACCTACCTACACGCGGATCCACGCGGAGGACTGGCTGCTACAATCCGGAGTGGAGTTCGAAAGGATCTATGTTGACAAAGGAAGAAGGAAGGAAGAAAACGGGGCGACTAGAAAGGAACTAAATCTGGTCCAGCAAGGAACTATTTTTATTCTTCTTCTTCTTTTTTGATTACTCCATCCTCTCCTGCATCATCATCATCATCATCACCATGTTTGGGGCTCCCATGGCATTGGATTTTGTGGTGCTCTTCTGCCTGGCGTCTGCCATCGCGGCTGTGGAAGGTAAACCAAGGCGGAGAAAGGGGCAACTTGCGTGGGTGGATGGCCAAAAATTTTAAAAAACTTGTGGTTGTTCACCAGGTTGCTCGGTTGGTGGTGGATGCTGGGTGGGAGGAATGGGAGGGGAGAGGTGCCACCTTCTTTTTGGGAAGCTGGGGTAAGACAGGAGACTTTGGCCAAGGGATGCCTGGCAGGGATTGGATGGGGAGGCATCTCCAAGCAGCCTGAGCCAAGCTGGCACCCAGAGGGATTTCCCCTCCAGCTAGGATCCCGAGATCTCCACCTGGATGGGATAGGATGGGATTGGATGCCCGGATGGAGGGCACAGGTGGAGATCTTGGGGTCCGAAGAAGTCATGATTTGGAAGCTGAATAAGGACCCATCTCACCTCTCTTTCGTCTTTCCTGGGAGCACAACAAAGCTGGATGACAGGCAACAATACACTCCCTGAACGATACACTCCCCAATATGTCTGTGTTTGGGCACCTTGGTTGGCAGGGTCAAGGGTTGATTGAGAGCCGATTTGACAAGCAATGGATCACTCTGGGGATTTGCATAAAGGAGGCTCGCTCTGCCAGATGTCAGGATAGGTCATCAAATGGGCTCCCTTCTTCCCTCCCTTACCTTTGGGTGTGTTGACAGACCCCAAACTCGGCCCTTACCCATCTGACAGGTAGAGATCTTGGGGTCCTAAGAAGGCATGGAATGTCTGTTGAACAAGGACCCATCTCACTCCTCTTTCGCCTTGCCTGGGAGCACAACAAACCTGGGTGACAAATGACAGTCTACTCCCTGAACCTCCCAACATACCTCTGTGTTTGGGCAGGGTCAAGGTTTGATTGGGAAGCAAAGGATCACCCTGGTGACTTGTACAAAGGAGGCTCGCTCTGCTAGGTGTCAGGATGGGCCTCTGAATGGGTTCCCTGCTTCCCTCCCTTTCCTTTGGGAAGTCTGACTTGTGGGTGTGTTGTGTAGACAGACCCCAAACCTGGCCCTCGCCCACCTGATGTCTCTGCTTCGCTGCTGATGAATGGAAAGTGGGTGGGTGGGTGGGGACTGCAATGGCTTTGACTAGCCTTGGTGCCTGCCTCCAGGTGAGCTCTCCCCAACGGATGCTCATTTTGTCAAACACCCAGCCAGGCGTTATTGGAGCGGGTAGACAGCTGGGATTGGAAAAGCAGCCCTTTGTCTTTTCAGTTCACATTTTCTTCTCGTGATTGTGTTTTGAGGGGTGTCTTTGGTGGGAAGAACCTGCCACTTTCCATCTCCACCTTCTCTTACATCCAGACTTCAGCCCAAGCTCCTGATAAAGGTTGAAGCCTGGATTCCATCATCCTTTACGAGATGCTTCTATTGCAGGCATGGACAAACCTGGGCCTTCCTCCAGGTGTTTTGGACTCCAACTCCCACTATTCCTAACAGTCTCGGGCCCTTTCCTTTCCCCCCTCAGCCACTTAAGTGGCTGAGGGGGAAAAGGAAGGGGCCTGAGGGTGTTAGGAATGGTGGGAGTTGGAGTCCAAAACACCAGGAAGACCCAAGTTTGCCCATGTCTGTTCTACTGCAAGGTGGAAAGCAACCCCCGAAAGAAACTTTTGCAGCTACACAAAGGAATAAAGGGAAGAGGGGTGGGGAATCATTTATTTCCCTGCCTCAAAGGTTGGAGGGAATTGGGTGAGGAAGTGGGGAGGATCCATCCCAGCGAACCGCTTCCAAGAAGGAAACTTTGCCTTTGCTTTGGAGAGCCCCGTTTTTGGTGGATGGCCGTCCCTCTGTATAAAAGAGTCACAAGGCTGGGCCCACATGAGCAAAAAAGAGGGAGAGGAGGAAGAGAAGAAAGTGCTGCCAGTGGTCCCTGGAATATAAAGGGGGAACATAACCATTCAAAAGATGTTCCCCTGGTCATATTACACAGAGCCACCAAACTGGCCATACTGCTTCTTGGATGCAACAAGGTAGCAGAAACTTTTGCCACCTGTCAGTTGAAACCCTTCCCTTCTGGACTCCTTGGGGCTGTGTCATTCTAAGCCCTAGGACTGTTTTCTGTGAATAGCATTGTGACAATCGCAATCCCACTTTTTATTTAGGGCTCTGGGATCCACCTCTCAGTCTCTGCACGGGCTTTATCCTTAATGTAACGGAAGGATGCGATTAGCCGGGAAGAAAGCCTTTGTGATCTTGGCTTTCCCCTCCTCCTCCTTTTCCTTTTCAAAAAGGTGATTTTGGTCCTGTGGTGCTGATTTATCTTCCTAGCTGGATTGGCTTCGCAGGGGCTCTTTCGATCAAAGTAAAATTGCTAGATGCAAGGGAGGAGCCCGACTCTCCGATGCCACAGCCCTCTGGGAGTTGCAGGAGTCGTTCCTGCTGACAATTAGAAAGCAGTAATGCCATGCTGTGCCTATAAGTCAGGCCTTGCAATTGAGACCTCTCTCCCATTCTCTCTTGCTTCTGGGAGGAAAACAAGGGAACTGATGAGGGGCTTTTTACCAGCATGCATGTCCTTCTTTCTGTGTCATTGTGCTGGAAGTAAAAACTGTTCATTTATGTGGCTAAGACAGCAGCTTCTTCATTCGTGTAACTTCCCTCACATCTGTTATTAACCTCTTGAATCCACTCAACTTGGAATGTGTGAAAGCATATCTAAGATACAGCATGGCTACTTAAAATGAAATAAGTCTGAGTTATGTGACTGAGATTTCATTTATTTTTATTCAATCCTGGTCATGTTCAAAATAATGTATTTTTTAAAAAACTCCCAGATATTTAAGGCTCATTCAGGAAAACGCCAAGCCCATCTGCTTCTTAGGGGAATGCACAAAGGCTGGCTTGGATTTCATACAAGAAACCCTCCATATAATTTTGCCCAGCTTTCCTTTGAAGTCTCGCTTTTGTATCTCCTTCTTTCCTTTTGTTTACTAAATACTCCAAACATTTACAAGGTATTGTTGAAGACTTTCATGGACGGAATCACTGGATTGCTGTGAGTTTCCTGAGCTGTATGGCCATGTTCCAGAAGCATTCTCTCCTGAGGTTTCAACCACAGGCATCCTCAGAGGTTGTGAGTAAAAATAAAGAGCAACACTCAGAAAACAGAAGAATTCCAGATAGAAAACAATTAGGGCCAGCTAACACCTACCAACAGAGGATTCCCCCTGGCAGGAAGCAACCAGGCTTTGAAGCTGCAAAGCCATTCAATGCTAATCAAGGTTACCAATTGCAACATTCACACTTGCCTCAAACAGACAAGAGTTCTTTCTCCCACCCTGGACATTCCACAGATATATAACACCCACTTGCCTAGTTTACAACAAACCTCACAATCTCTGAGGATGCCTGTCATAGATGTGGGTGAAACGTCAGGAGAGAATACTTCTGGAACATGCCCATGCAGCCTGGAAAACTCACAAGGTATTTTAAAGTTTGTGTGTTCACTTTCTGGTAACGTTTCAAAAATACATTCAGTGCATTCATACATTGAAATAGAAACAGTCTGTGTAAGCATCTATAGAAGACTTCCTTAAAACTGACTTTTTTTTTAAAAAAAAGTGGAATAATACAAACACATTTAGGAAACCATTGAAGCAACTTGATGTTTAGGCCAACCCCCCCCCCCCCAAACACACACACACACCATTCACTTATACCGTTCCTCCACCGTGATACTTTAGTGTGCATAAAACTGCTCACAGTTGGGTAGTCTTGTTATCTGCGCAGAAGGCAGACACATGAATCAACCTGTACTTCAACACCAAATTATGAAGGATTACAGTTATTTTCTCCCTTCTCCAACCCCATTCCCTCTTTTCTTTTTGTTCTAGAAATCCCCAGAGTGTAGATTTAAGATAACCCTGGGGCAAACAGCTTTGCTTACCCAGCTAATTCCTAGTAACCATTGTGAAAAATGCCTTAGATCTTGACAAAATAAGGGGAAAAAGCATGACAATAGCTGGGAGTGGCAAGGCAGGGCTAGTTGTGCCGCATGGTTTCACAATGCCGGTATTTACTGCTTTGGAATAGGGTGGCTTTAGCATTGTGGCAGAAACTGGCACTCCATTGTAAGGATTCAGAGAGAGAGGCAAGAGAATGAATGGAGTGCAAACTATACCGCATCACTTGGGGATGACTGATTGTGCCAGAAAGAGGGTCTGTTCATGTTTATAGACAACACAGGAGGAGAAAGTATTGTACTAAATATTAAGTTATGAAGCCAAGTTGTGGTATCTTAATATGTCTAGGATCTGATCCATTCAGATTATTGAAATTCTCAGGAAAGGAAGGGAATGCCTGCCTGTCGGTTTGTTTACATGGTGGGGAGGTTCAAATTGGTGATTTCAACCTAGCTTTTTGTTTGTGCTCCCACTGTTAAAAGATATTGGCACTGCTTAACACAATGGTAGGCAATCTGGCATCCTGAAGATGTGGTTGTCGACTTCCACTGCCCCCAGCCATTCCCTGTGCGTGCAGATAGGAGCTGCAGCCCAAAATATCTGCAGGGCACCAGGATCCCAACTTTCTTGAACTTTGAAGCAGAACACGCCAGCTTCCTTCTGTCTTCAGTCTTTTCAGCTAACAGACTGATAATCTTCAAGCTTTACAAGACCTTGTTAAAATACACACATTATAGAACTACAGGAGTGTTTTGCACATGCATGCAAAGTCCTTGAGTTCTTTACACTCAGTTTCTGTTCATCTGACGATGACTGGCAGTTGAAAAGTGTGAATGGGCTTGGCAGGAAAGGATGTTGTTACATATATGGTGAGAACGACTTGTAGCTTCTGAGTTTTGCACAGGATTATAGACTTTACTGGAGCTGTCAGTAGATGTTTGCTGTCAGCTGATTCAGTGCTGACAATTCTAATCCCTAACGTTAACAGAGATTTAATATCCAGTCCACCACCACTTCTAATGGCACTACGTTTAAGTTGGCTAAAGGATGTTCTTCCTTACTGAAATTTTAAGGGAAAACTTGGAATTTTGTAACACCAGAAAGAATATGTAACGTGAA